CAAAAAACAGCTCAAGCGTGCCTAAGGGCAGATTGGGTTCATGGAAGCCACACAGCTGTCACCTTTCCCTGTCCACCTAGGTCTGCTGCAGGACCACTGGCCGTGCAGGGAACCCAGCTATGGTGGGAGGTCCTCGCCTACAGCCTACCCAATCTGAGTCACTGTGCAGCCTAAGCCATCCCATCGGCCCTGCTGCCTGCCAGGGCCATGGCCTCCGCAGGGTGGACCTGCAGCTCGTGGGCTGTGACCGTACTGTGGGCTGGAGAAGGTCAGCTCCCCTGGGTTCATCTGCAAGAAGAGGTGGATAACAAAACCACTTGGGCCCTAAAAGCCTTGGGGTTCACAGGAAGCCAAAGCCCTGGCACCTGGCCAGACCACAGCCCGGGGCCTGGGCAGCAGCGATGGCTGGGACAGCCTGGCTCTTACCATTCTCCTCCCACCCATACTCAACTCACGGGTTCATTCAGCCAACACCAAATACATGATGGACCTGTCCCTATGTGGGAGTGACAGTGGGGTAGTGACAGGGCCTCTGTGAACCCCTTACCTGGAGGCAGTGGCAGAACACAGGATGAGACAAGGCAGTTCTGTGGGCAGAGAGGACAAGTGGACATGAAGGTGCCCACTGGGGGCTGCTGGCAGGGCAGCGTTGAGGTGGGTGCAGAGGGAAGCTCCAGGGACAGAGGCAGGGGCCTGCACCCAATGGCACAAGTGTGCCTGAGGCTGTGTTCCTCACTGCCCCCATGAGGTCTATGGGTGCTGCCTCCCCAGCCCCTTGGTGCTGTGTGAGTGGCTCTCGGGAGGTGGTCCCAGAACCCCTGGCATAGATGTCGAAGCTCTAATTACCCATCCCAGGGAAGCTCTGTTGGTTGCAGGTTCTGGGCCACGTAAACGGCTGTGTTTGGAGGTGTCCAGGGACACGGACCCTGGCTGTCTGCGACTTCAGCCTTGATGCTACACTCTGATGCCTGCTTCACTGTGCCCTGCCATGCACACAGACTTGAGAGATAAGGTTTGAATCCTGGGTGTGACATCCCTGAGCTCAGCTTGTCTGCTTTCTAAATTATACTCTGCTGGGGGCAGAGAACAGATCCAGCCCAATCACCAGCTTTTTAGTCACTGATACATGAGCGATTTTGATGTGCTCAGAGCCTTCTGGACATGTCCCTGAGACAAGCTCACTCTGCCCACTCTGGCTAACAACCTTGTCCTGTACATGGAGGGGACCTTATCACTGTGCCCCTTGAGGCCAGTGCAGGCCAGCCATGCTTATCCATCCATTCTAGCTGGCCTGATCCAGGAATAGGCCAGGCTAGAAGAAGGTCTGTCCTGTCCACCAGCCTGTCCTTGTTCTCAGACTAGGCCTTCTTACCCTGGCCTCCTGCCATTCCCTGATGCAACCCTTCATGTGGCCTCTGTGGACAGGGCCCTCCTTGCTGGCTGCTCCCTCTGCTTGGGCCCGAGCAATTTCAGGGGACCTCGTTCCCTCACCTATGCCAACACAGGCAGCACACGGCACTCCCACCCCACCAGGTCTCATAGATGGGAGCTGGTGAGGTTTCACGGGGTCAGAGCCAGGGTTCGCTTCCTTTCCAGATGCACTGTCCTGAAAATATGCCTTCGAGGTCTGTAACCCTTCATCTGCAATCTCAAGATCCAATAACTCAGAGAATTGAGATTTTAGTCTGCATAGCAGCAAATTCCAGCCTGGTTTGTTGCACTGTTGGGAATCTCAGGCCGGTGCCAGAGGGAGGCTCTGCATAAATGCTGCCAGCCCTCACTGTGTCTTCCTGTACCTGCTGCTGAGCATGAGAAGTCCTGAGGTGCCAGTTCCGCCTGTCCCCGTTAGAAGGCTCTGCAGACAGGGATCTGGGAGCCCCAGCTCCAGCTGGCTTTTACAGTGAGCAACTCAGAGGCAGCGACACTGGAAGGCTAGTGCAGGTCAGCCGCCAGGCGACGCTGTCTTCAGAGTCCTGGGATCTTCCATCCTGTCCCTCAGCCATTCTTGATGCTGGTCCCTCCTGGGGACAGAAGGGGCCTGGGCCACCTCCACAGAGGAGTGGGCACCACAAAACTGGATGCCTCTCTTGGGAAAGCATAACCCCCTCCTCAAGTGCCTTCTCCCCACCACACACAGGTCTCTCTTGCACCACTGGCAAGGTAAATGGTGTCATCACTATCCATTTAGACCAGCCATGTGGGGTGGGGTGAATAGTCACAGTCCTCCCCAGGACCCAGGTCTTTGCCCAGCCTGTTCTTGGGTCCTTTTGCAGCTCTGCCCACCCCTCCATAGCTTGTCACCTGCTCCACAAGCTGGCCTGAGAAGCTCACGTGTAGATGACAGAAAGTAGCTGTCTTTCCCCCAGCTTTCCCCCAGGAAACGCCCACAGTTGTGGTATATCCCATTTCCTTCTCAAAGGAGCAGGTGTTTGGAGACCTCAGGACCCTGGTATGTGCATGGAGTGGCAGACATTTAATTTAGTAGTGAACTAGTAAATGTTTAACGAAATGGCTTTTGGGAAAAATTGAAGAAAGAAGGCTCTGTTTTGTGACATTTGCTGAACCAGGCTTCAGGTGTAAATGCTCCTGAGACAGATTTCAAGGTCCCAGAGAAAGAGACAGTGTACTCTTGAGAGCAGCTTAGGAGGGCTGTGGTCCAGGATGTCACCATACTGTATTGGCTTCTTGGGAACTACCTAGGTGCCTGGATAGTGTGGGCATCCTTAGACTGTAATTAGGACTTTCAAGGCAGTCCAGGGCACTGAGTGGGAGTGTGTTCGCTCAGTTCTTGGGAAACAACCTCACCTCCAAATGAATCTGTTCCCCGCTCCATGTACCACCAGCTAGCACAGTTGGAAAGTGGCTAAAGAAGGCCACTCCTTTTCTACATGGTGTTGCCTACAGTCCAGGAGTCTGTGAAAAAAAAAAAAACCCAACCAAACAGTAGTGTGAGGTCTGACGTCCATGCTGGACTCAGTCATGCCAGGGGGAGCAGGGGACAAGGGTCTTGTGAGTCTTCTGCAGCACCCCTCCCCTCACTCCTGCCTCACTGTGCCATCCTGCCCAACAACAAGTGACAGAGGAAAAAGATCTGCATCGCCTAGCAACAGCCTTGAATGCAGGGAGGCAGCCCTGGACACCGGGGAGACCAGTCAATACGGTTCTGAATGAAGGCAATGTCAACCGCGGAAAGATGCACTGTGAGGATTCGTAGGGAAACCGAGGGCAGTCGTGGGCTCCCCAGAGGGCGGGAAGCCTATTAGCTCTGGGCACTGGGCTCCCCCAGATGAACTATCTGGGGTGTGGATGCTTCAGGCCACCGAAATCAATAGGCCTTTGAAGGCAGAGTCAAGTCATGCTGGCCAGGGCTATGCTTGTTATTGCAAGTCAGCAACTCAGCAAACGGGGCTCAGTAGTTCCCACAGGAAGCCATGTCCTGGGCTCCCTGACTCTCTGAGAGTTCCTGCATCTCCCAAGGGCTGTCATGGACATCAGCAGGAGGGTGGAGTGGAGGCTGCCAAGGTGGCCAGCTGTGCCAGTGAGTTGGGGGGGGGACCAGCGTTTTCCAGGGTGTGCGCCTTCCCATGCCAAAACGGGAAAGCCTGGGGCAAGCTGTGCCCCGGTCACCCTGGTCAGCGTGATTTGACCTCTGGTAGGGCTGATGGGTTAAACATCAGGTGCTGGGTTAAGTTTGGAATTCAGATAAATGACGAGTAATTCTAGAATAATGGCCTAACTATTACAGAGGGCTACATTTTATAGTTAAAAAAGACGTATCTGAAGCCCAACTGTAGTACTCTTTTCTGTCTGTTTCGCTTTGGTAAAACCTCACAGCCATCTCCAGCAGATACTTGGCAATGACAGGAAGCAGTTTTGGTTGTCACAACTTCAGCTCCGTGGGGCGGGGAACCATGCTGCCCACACCCAGTGAGCAGAGGGCAGGGACATGCCCAAGGTCCTGCCATGTGCCAGTGCATGAAGAAGCCCCGTGACCCAGCTGGAAGTGCTGGCAGTGCACGGGAGAAGAGATCCCCGTGGGTGCTTCCTTCCTGAGGTGGGCATCACACAGCTGCGTCCTCCGAAGGGGACCCTGAGGGCAGACAGATGGAGCAGTGTCAGGTGCACTTCTGACTTTAGTGCTTTTGGTTAGGGAGAGCCTAAGGGTCTCTGAAAGCTTCTAGCAAATGCTTCCCCCTAACAGGGCACTTGTCCCCATTCTGGGGAGAGCGAGGTAGGGTGTGCATGAAAGTCGAGGGCAGAGTGCTTGGTCTGTGTGATCTGTAGGGCACCCTGGTCCCCCAGACTTCTCTGGCGACTTCTTGCACTCCTGGAGCGGCTCTGACAGCTCCTGTCTGTCCCTGTTATTCTACTGCACTGGTACCAACTGTACCTGGAGTTTCCCCGACAGAAACGGTGACAGTGGGAATGTTGTGTGCTAATCCTAACCCTAACTCTAGCAAGGGGGCTTTATCCTTGCAAAACCACGCCCAGCCCATGACAAATGCAGTTCAGGGGTCACTGGGGCCTTTTCCACTTCTTCTGTACCCCAGCTGCTGCCAGGCGCAGAGGCCGCTATTCCGCACTTCACTCTGCCCCCCTCCCTACATGGGAACTGGCATCTGCTCGGAAGGAACTGGCAAAGCTTTCTGTGCCAGCTATCTCCATGGGATGCGTGTCTGTCGGGCACAGAGTTCTAGAGCCGGGTGGTGGCTATGGGGACAGCATTGTCCTTGTGCTCAATGCCACAGAACTGAATACTGACAGGGTCCCCACGGTCCATGGTCTGTCCAGGCACCAGGAGGTGCTTGGTAAAGCCTTGACGCTGTGTACCCACAGCCGGCCTGGGTCTGTCACAGTGGCCTCTTGTAAACCTGACCACAGCCTCACCAGTTTGTCTTTTCCCTGAAAACCAGGTGGGCTTTGCCTGTGTCTTCTGCTCTCTGTTCCCAGGCCCTTGAAGATGAGAATGTTTGCAATCTCTTGTTATTCTTCCAAGGTCAGACTTGTTAGGTGTGGAGCTTTTCTGTGAATGGAACCTCTTGTCTTCCCTGGACTATGGTGCTGCACAGGTCAGTCTCGTTTGAATTTTGTTTGCAGTGTCAATCATGAGACTACCAAGCAGTCAGAGTGGCCACAGACAGTGCAGCCTTGGAGCAGACAGCCCTACCTCGAGCTAGTCCGTGACCCTGAGGACACTGTTTGACCCCTGGTGCTCACTCCTCACCCGTGTGTTAGCATTGAGAGGGGAAGTGAAGTGGCCTGGCTAGGGAAAGCACTGCTGTGATTGGTCTGCTCCCAGCAGGGCTCCACACAGGTGGCACCAAAGGACACTGACCTTATGGGTTTGTAGAGTCGGCTCTCGACCTTCCTGTCAGCTTCCCAGGAAGTTGGCAGAACTGGGAAGACACTTCCCTGTTTTCAGTGCAGGAAAAAGTGACCTGAGAGTATAAATATCATTCCAATTCACGGAGTGACTTCACGCAGAGACAATGTCTTCTTGTTCCTCATTCCTGCCTGGCAGAGCTCTCCAGGGACTGAGCTTCCCCAGGGCTGTGATGGTTGTGTCTTCGTCCAGGACTCTAGACCTCTTTCAGTCTCAGCATCAAACTCTGCACACCAGTGTGCAGGTCTCGTCATGTGAATACACAGCAGCTGCTGGGCGATGCTGCCAGCGGTCTAAAGTTGAGAGGAGGCTGTTTTCGATGATCGGAGGCAGAGCAGGCAGATGATCGGGGGTGAGAGGCAGTGTCACCTCAGCCAGCAGCATAGAGCTGGAGATCATGGCTGTCGACTCTGCCTGGCGCCCTCCCATCGCCTGTGCCCTGCAGCTCAGCAGTTGTCACTGGTCAGGTACTTCCTAGGTAGGAAGCCTGTGCCCAAGCCTGGCCAGAGCCCTGCAGGGCCTCCCCCACCCCTAAATCTCTCCCAGCACGGTCCCCAGGATTGACGAAAGAAGAATGAGTGGCCAGTGCATCGAATGCATCTTTCCACAGAAACAATGTTGGAAATGACTCTATTCCCAAAGACACTGACAGCTGACCTCTGTGCTCTGAGAGACTGTGATAGCTGGACCCTGTGGAGTTGAGGCTCCAATTGGTGCATTTATCTCAACTCTGGGTGTGGACTCCACTGGCTGGAAGTCATCCCTATGGCTTGGTTTGAGATTGGGTGACCCATAGTGAGCCAATGGGGCTCTGGCATAGGGTGGCTTGAGTTTCTGCAAAAGTTCCTGGAGGCAGCAGACAGCCAGGCAGCTCCTAATTACTGTCTCACAGACAGGGGAAACCCAAGTATGGGATGAGGCTGACTGCGAGAAGCGTATCTACTCGGCTTTACACTGGTAGCAGAATACAACTGAAAGTACCAAGCACGGTGCTGCTCTGGTCATGGCCTTCCCGCTGGGTCCTAACATGGCAGAGGCCATCCCATCACCATGCAGCCTGAGCATGCAAACCCGTCTCTCTGTCTTCTTACAGAGCCACCAGTCACATCGCAGAGCCTCACTCATATGACCTCATCTTACCCCGATCTCTCACTAAAGTCTGACCTCCAAATAACACCAACAAACGATTTGGAGATAAAGTTTGTAACACACGAACTTTTGAAGGACACATTCAGACCATGGCAGCAGGAATGCAGGTGGGAGAAGCCCAAGTCCTGCCGTACGAGCTACTGTGGACACCTTGTCTCGCCCACGTCTGATTTCTGTTATGTGTGCAGTAGGATTTCTTTTTTGGGAGCCAGCTGGAGCCAGATTTCCTGTAACCTGCAGCTGAAGCAGGGCTGACCCACATGAGGCTGAAGGAACCAGCTGGTCTCTTTCTTTACCACAGCTCCTTCCAAGCCTTCGGCACTGTATTTTTTGAATTTGGGAAGCATTTTAGCCTCAATCCATTAAAATGACTGCCTCTTTCCACTGCAGTGCTTCTGTGCCACATCGCCCCGCAGTGGAAACAGCCACTGGCCCTTGGGATCTGGCCCGGGAAGAGAAGACGAGTCACTCCCTCACCAGGCGAGGAGGGCTTGGCTCACTGTTGCTCTGGGCCTAGCTAAGTCACACTGGATGTCACAGTGTGAAGATGACTTCTAGTTCTCCCAGCCACAGAGCTGTCTGCAGACACTGCGCCCACAGTGACAACGGACTCAACCGCTGACTGACCTCTTTCCCTGCCCTCCTACGGTGTCTTCTGGGATCGCCTACAGGTAAGCTCTGGACTGCCGTCCTAGTCCCAGACCCAGTTCTGATTCTGGGCCCAGGGCAGACCCACTGTGTGTGGACTCAGGTCCATTCTGTGCACTCTGCTCGTGTGATCCTCAAGAGGAGACTGACGTAGGCTGCCTCCCATGTACCTATTTGGATGATGGGGTGAACCAGGAGCACTTAACTTGGCAACAAAGAAGGTGCAGCATCTTCAGATGATGAGGACCCTGTGCAGAATGAGTGTCCCCACCAGGTGAGGGGCTTCTCTGGGCAGGGACTGAGTTTCAGTGTGCTGGCCTCAGCAGCCAACATGGTGACTGTTGTAAAGCAGACACATGAGGACGAATTTGTGGGTCCTTTCAGTATCCAGCTCCACCCCACTCCAATCAAAAGCATCTCATTTTCCTTTAGAGAACTTGCCTCTTCCTCCTGTCAAGTCCTTTGTATGGACAGGACAGATGCCGCACCTCAGCCTCTTATCCCCTTCTACTGGCTGCAGCAATTGGTTTACTCTTGAGCCAACAGGAGTGTTTAGGACTCATGGGAGGAGCTAACCAAAGATCTCTGTGTCCCCTGGAGGATGAGATGAGAAGCCTGGAATTACAGCAACCCTTTTGCTAACATGAGAGAGTTGACCAGGAGCTGTCGCAGAGCTCAAGGTCATGTGGGATCACATGTTTGAGCTTTGCAATAAGTCTCATTTGAAGCCCTTTTTCCAGTGATACCTTTTACTGGGTATATCAACTTGAGTCAATTGCTGTCACTTCTCACATTATATAGTCACCAAATCTGCACTCGACACGTGTTTGCTGACGGGTGAATGATATAAAAATGTAGGAGATTTCAGGTAGGTTTAAAGAAAGATTTTCTAAAACTTGGAGCTCTGAAATATAGAACAGAATGCCCTGTAAGGTAATAAATTTCCTTTTTCCATGGCATAAGCCTAGGCGAAATCACCGCTCTGTCAGGAGTGCTAAGGAAAGGTATCCTGGGGGTGGGTGACGGAGCCTCCGAACAGGGCTGGAGATGTTTTAATGTTCCTTCAGTGATAGGCTCAGCAGGCCTCGACAGGCAAGGTGGGGAGGATGGCTGAGAGGAGACAGTCTGAGGGTGACATGGCTGGGGTCAGATTTGGGGCCTGGGGTGAGGGTTCTGGAGGTCAGCTGAGAAGAGGACGGGGTGATGCCCTACCTAGATGATGAGAAGGTCCACCAGTCACGTGGGCCAGCGGGCCTGTTTGAGGGTCTGGCTGCAGCGTGAGGACCCGGCCAGCTCTCAGGTACTGGTGGATGTGTGCTGACTTGGGCACAAGCACCAGAAGCAGGTTTGCCCCAGCATCCATGCATGCACAGCAAGAGCGTCAGGAGAGTTTGTCACTGAGTGACTTTCTTGTCTGATGGTGGAGCTAGTGGCTTCTCTTTGTTTCCTAGGGTTCCTTCTTCCTGGTTCTGCCATTGGCCTCCTGTGAGACCCTGGGAAGCACACTACTCTCCCTGGGCTCCTTCCTCATCTACAAAATGCGACTTGGGACACCAGAGCGTTGCTCTAGAACGGGACGTGCAGGGGTGCCCATGTCTCTGCATGGCACATGCATTCCTGTCATGGGGATGTAGCAGTTCTCCGGGGTCTCGAGGGCCAAAGAGGAAGATGCGATACAACCTGTGGATCCTCCAGACTCATGTCCTGGAGTGTCCCAGGTTCTTCTGTCCCTAGGGATCAAAGGGAGCTGCAGCCTCTTGCAGCAAGGAGGGATGGGCAGTGAGGCCCAGAAGGGACAGGTGTGGTATCCCCAGGGGACAAGTGGGTGTAGCACAGGCTGCAGCTCAGGGAGATGCAGGCCCCGACTGGGGTGCACATTGGACACAGGGCTGGCTGAGTCCAGGTTTCTAGAGAAGCCAGAAAGCCAGAGTTTCCCCACTAAGTTCTCCTGAAATTCTAATGTCTTCAAGTAATGAAAAGCGAAAGCCTTTCTGGGCCAGATGGAACAGCATCCAGGGCTGGCACAGTGTCTGGCACTGCCTGTTCTTTTTGCTTTGGAGTCTAGAGGGTGGTGGGCACAGGTGCCAGACACTGAGTCTGCAGGGCTCCCAAGGGTCCCAAGGCAGAGCCCGCAGAGGCAGGGACAGGTCCTCCCCATGTCAGCAGCTGCTGATGTGCTGAATGCCGGAGGGTGGGGTGGGGTGGGTGGCAGGCCGTGCAGCCAGGGCAGCCCGAGCTGGTCCCTTCCACCTTAGCTGAACCTTAGCTGTCAGGTGCCAAGCAAGTCCAGGTTGTGTGTGTGTACATGGGTATGCGTGTGTGCGCCTAGGGTACAGCTGTCTTGTGATGACTTGGTGAAGGGAAATTATTCTTCACTCTCCCCACTGAGAAGAAAAGGCTGTGGTGGAAGCCCCTTGGCCGGGTTGCCTAGCAAGCTGATAACAGCTGGGTTTGCAGTGTGAGTTCCTGGTCAGCTTTGCGTGCCTCTGTTTCCTCAGACATGAACAGGTTAGGGTGGGAGGAGTGCTGCCTGCATGATGCATGTTGCCTGGTGCTGGGAAGCTGGCTCATGGTTGGGGTTCAGGGGTCCCTGGTCCACAGCACATGTGGCCCTCGAGCTCCGGGAGGCGTGAACCTGCAGGTGGTACCAGATTCTAGACAAGCACCTTTCCCCGTGTGGGCACACCTGTGACCACCTCGAGTTCGTAGATTAGGCACAGCCAGGCTGACAGAAGAGCTAAAAATAGAACAGCAGAGTCACAGCAGCAACTGCAGTGAGAGTTCCATGGAGGCGACCTCTTCTGTCTCGGTCTCTGTCTTTCTCTTTTCTCTGTATGTCTGTGTGTCTGTCTGTCTGCCTGTGTTTCTATCTAATCTCGGGTACCATCCTCACCCCTCTCTGGAGTGACATGCACACTCTTGATTCAGACTTTGGGGGACTGGGGAACTTGAAACACAGATGAGAGGCCTGCGTGCTGAAGAGACGTGAGGAGGAAAGCCCAGCTCGCCTTCCCGGCCTGCTGTGAGTGTTGGCTGCAGACTGCTCGGGCCCCCTTCCCTTCCTCAGGGGAGCTGTCCTAAGTGGGTCCTGAGTGACCCTGCCATACCGTTCCCTTCCCCATTGTGGACAATGGTGGCCATGTTTCGCTGGGGTTGAGTCTGTGTTTGTGCTAGGCAAGCTAAGGCGGGCACCAGCCAGGACAGCTTCCTTGCTCCATGATTCCAGCCTTCTCCCTCTTTTCTGTGTTCCCCAACAAGCCTTATGCACTGAACCCTTGTCTCCGGCTCTTTCTCTAGGGACTTCTGCTGGCTTCAGGTCCTTTGAGCCCTCACCAGGATGGTGTAGACGGATGCTGTTACTCATTTCACAGATGGAGAAACTGAGGCTCAGGGAGAGACCTCCCTGCAGAGTACTGGAAGATGATTCCTGAAAATGCGTCCTTTTCACTTTCACCAGGTTTTTCCACACTGAGCTCCCTCCCTCCCCTCCGGGTCTTCCTGGGCACGCCAGAGAGGGAACCATGGGTTTCGCCCTCCTGAAAGCAAATCAAAACCCTTGAGGGGGAGGAACAAGGCCAAGGAACCTCGAAGACACCCTCTTCCGATGTCATGGCAGTTGCTGCCGTCCAGCCTGACCCTCAGTGACCCCAGGGCCTATTGCAGAGATACTCGGGTCCCTGAAGGGCCCTCATTGGTCCAGAGCACCTTGATTTCAGACAAAGGACATGACTTTACCTTGCTCTGAGTGACTCAGACTGGCAGGAGGCAGACTTCAGGCCCATGTGACCAGCGGAAGTAACCAGCCCAAGAGCCCCTGAGTCGGAGCCAGAGGGGGAAGGTGGGCCTGCGTCTGTTGGAAGGGACACCCCTTTCCCAGTCCAGGTCCCACCTCGAGCCTGTCCCACAAACCCCTCCCCTCTGTGACAGCAGCCATCCCCTCAGGGTCCCCCTGGGGATCAGCCCCAGCTCACATGGCTGGCATTTACCTGCCCCACCACATCCTCCCACCCTGGCTGGTGGCCTGGCCCTGCAGTCCAGCAGTCCAGCAGTGCTGTATGTCACTGAACACCTCCTGGGCTCCTGCCTCTGTGTCCCAGTGAAGAAATGAGGGTGATCTGGAGGTGGGACACCAGTGCTGGATGAGGGGGAGTGGTTAAGAGCCTGGGGGTTCTGTTCTCAGACAGCCTCCTGTGAAGCCTGGCCACAGCTCTGTTTGGATTCACAGTCTCCAGTCTAGCTTGTGGGCTGCCTGGAACCCTTGGGCTCCAACAGGCCCTGAATGCCCCTCGGGGGGACTCAAGGAAGGGGCTCCCTGCTTCCCAGATGGGCCACACCCCGAGGCACCAGAGTCTGGCTGAGGTCTCTGGAGGGCTCCGTGGGGGAGGGTGGCATAGCGCCATAATTAGGCAGAAGTGAGCACAGGAAGGTGCCTGTCGGTTCGGTCACCACTGCTGGGTATTTTAAAACGCTGGAGGAGAGGATTTTGAATGTTTCTGAAGCAGCAGTGAACATTCAAGGAGACAGATGCGCGTGCACTGATTTGAGTGTTGTGCTGTGCTCGCCTGTAGCCCAACACCACACAACACAGCCCACCGGCACAGGATCATTAGGTGTCAGCTGAAAAATGAATCGTAAAAGGAGGGAGTCAGCAAGCAGTGGAGGGTCTGGCAGGAGCAGAGGGCCTGGCTGGGCACTGTCCTGCCCGGGCGACAGGTGCGCGCCTTGCCCACAGCTCCTTGGTTACCCGAAGCGTGCTCCCTGGTCTGAGTGAGAGGCCCTTGGCTTTCGATGTCCCCTGGCCTAGCTGGAACAGCTCTGAAGGAAGAAGAGGTTAAAATGTGGTTTAAGCTTCAGGCAATTAGTGCCACCTCTCAGAGCCCTTCCACTGGGAGAATTCACACTGGAGTTAGTCTGACTTTAACAGGATCCAGTGTCAGGCTGTCGCAGGTCCCAGGGGCGCCTGATTCTTGAGGGCAGCAGCTTCTGGCTTGCGGCTCAGATAACAAGTGTGGCTCTTAGGGGTCCAGACCTCTCCAGGGAGATCTGATCAGGAGAAAGGAGCGGAGGCTGAGTGCCTGGGGTTATTCTGAGAACAAGGAGCAGGGTCGCAGGCAGAGCTCCAATCACTGCAAGCCCTGAAGGACAATTCAGACCCCTTGCCACCAGCCACCACGCACCCTGGGGCAGAAGTGAGGCTGGAGGGCCTGGTGGCCACCACAGTGGCCGCCTCCAGTGTGGCCTGAGGGTATGCATCAGCTGCCCCTGGAGCCTATTAGAAATGCTGGCTATGGGCCTGTGTGGTCACTGGACCTGAGAACCCTGCTCTGGCCGCAGGTGGGGGCGGACCAGCTTCACGCTTCACTGAGCAGCATGGAACCTGAAATTTTTAGAACCGGTTTCCGGTGTTTTATAATAGGCATTTTTCTTCATGAAAACCTACATTTTAGCTTTTCTTGGGGGAGAAACTTAGAAGATCTAGTCACAAGGAACACACCTGCCTGCTTTGTGGTGACTGCCTGGAGCTGAGCAAAAGCCACTGCTCTTAGCAGGGCCACGCCCTGCATGACCTGTCCTGCTGGCTCCCTGTCTCCCTGGAGGCGTGGGGCCCTAGCCTGTGACACATCTGTCCCTATCCCAAGTTAAAGGCCATTCCACATACACTGGTGGTATGCTGGGCCTCCTCTCCCTGCCCTGCACCCGCTCCTGCCAGCCACCCCACTTCTGTGGAGATGGAGAAGAAAGACAGACCTAGTGCAGAGGCCCAAGGCGGAGGTGCACCAGTTTAACCTTCAGTCAGGTCTGTCTCATCCCCAGAGGATGCCCCATCATTGAGCTCTGGAAGGATAGGACGATCCCTCTGCTCGGCTACTACCCAGGACTGGGGTCCTCAGAAGTGAACAGGCCCATTTCTCAGCAGCTGGCGACCCTGTGGTCTGGACTGCTTGGGACTCTTGGCTCTCACAGTCTGTGCTCTGAGGACTGTGCTGGCAACGGACCAACTCGCCTCCCTCTGGAAGGAGGTGGCAGGGTTAGCAGGGAAAGGACAGTCTGCCTCGCTGACCCTAAAGTCATTCTTGAGCACTTCCTTGCAGATGGGGGGCAGGTGGCAGGCAATTCCTTTCAAGTCCCTCATCTTGGAGGAGGACGTTTTGACGAGGTCTACAAGGTCAGCTCAGCTCCGGGGGAGAATTGACAATAAAAATGTGGTTGCAAGAAGCATTAATGGAATTCTCATACATGCAGATGAGGGGGCAGCGAAGAAACACTTGAGTCGTTGAGCAGACCTGGCTTAGGAGGCCAAGGCATCTTCAGTGGAAATCACCTTATTTCTGAATGTGCATCTCTGAGACCATAGGAATGGTGTTGGTCAGGGGTCTCTGAGGGACAGAATAATGGAATCCATCTCTGTCCATCCACCCACCCACCCACTCACATGTCCATGCACCCATCCATATCCATCCATAATGTCTGGTATCATATCCACCAATCACCATCTATCTTTTATATCTATCTTCTATCATTTATAGTTATCATTTATCTACCATATCTGTCTACCCAACTATCATCTCTCAGTCTGTTGTCTAACATTGATAGCTATCCTCTATCATTTATATTTTTCATCCATCGTTTGTCTATCATCTGTCTATCTACCAATCATCTATCTATCTGTGTATTTCTGTCTATCTAGGAATGATGGTCATGTGATTATGAAGGCCACAAGATCCTGTGGACCACTGTCTGCAAACAGCAGAATCCAGGATTCCCGTGCTGTGGCTCAGTCCCAGTCTAGGCATGCTGTGTTTCAGCCTGAAGCCGCCAGGCTGAGTACCTGGGGGCGCGGTGCTGTGAAGGGGCCCAAAGGCTGGGGGTCCAGGAGCCCTGATGTCTGAGGAGAAGAAGGCTGCAGCTCTGCAGGGGAGAGTGCTTTACCTTTTCCTTGTACATCTACCTGTAGCAAGTACCTTTGGGTACTTGGAGTCAGGCAAGCTGGAACCCAAAATTTGCTGTCTTGGCCCCCGTGGCAAATGGTGACCAGAGTGGGATTCTCCTGGCCTTGAGGACCCGTGCTGGACCCTCACACCAGCTGCTGTACACCCTAGAGCCCACTGGAGGCAGTGAGGTCAGAGAGGGAGGGTGGATCAGGCATCCGTCTCAAAGGCAGGTGGCCGCCAGGTCCCCTCCAGGCAGCTCCTTGGGATGACTGCTGTCATAGGCATACTCTGCAGGAGGAGGAGAGGAACCTGGGACCTGGGGTCTGATCCCTGCCTCTCTCCCACCGAGGTGTGGTGATGCTTGGCCGAGTGTCCTGGTCACTTTGAGCTTAGCTTTCTCCCCCACCGCCCCAGGGGCAGCATCCTCAGGGGCCCTCTGCTCTTCCATTCACCTCCAGCTCCTTTCCTTCCCCGTCCACTCTGAACCGCTGTCGTGGGTGCGGATGATGGCTCTGCATCACACACCACGTAGAGTGACCGGCCTTCCTGACCTTCCTGACCTCCGAAGTCTGTCTGCCCTCTCCTCCCCACAGTGGTTTCTCTCCTCAGTCTGCTCTCCATTCTCTCCCCACCTCAGTGCAGCCACTTAGTGCAGCATCTCAGCCGTCTCCTTGACCATTCGGGGACTTGCCCCTATGAGAGGCATGTATGTCTGTCATTTCCTGGGCGATTATGGACAAGGGAAACAGTGTTTCCTGCCACACCACACTATGAGGAGGACTCCAGGAAGAGCCACTTTGCTGGGCACTGCCTCTGGGCTGCCTGGGGATGCTTGCTAAGGGTCTTCTTGCCCCCAGGATGGCGGAGGCCGACCACTCTTCTAAGGGGAGATCAGAGGGGAATGGCTCCGGTCGCCTGCATTCTGTAACCCGCCCTGGAGAGGAGCGTGCAGCTGGGCAGGTGTGGGGCTGCAAGGTCAGCGGCTCTGTCCCTGTGGTGACAGCCTGGCCAGCACGTTTCCTAGTGAGTGCACTGTGGGCGCATTGTACCTTGTAGCTCAGAATCAATAAACTCAAGGCAATTTCCTTAACATCCCATCAATAAGAGATTACGGAAAGGGGAGGGTTTTCTTTAGAAGCTAATGCCTTACTAAAGTTCAAATGAGGCAATATATAGTAAAATAAATTCAATTTCTATTTTCACTCCTTGCAGTTTTAGTGGAGACTAAATGAAATGGAACCATGTTGATCCTCACTCGTTCAATATATCTTCACTTCCTAAGAACCAAGGTCATTTTTACCTTCACGGGAAGGAAGGCAAAATATAAAATACCCATTCAGAAATGCGTTTGCAGGGTTTTGAGAGCCAGCTAGATGACTGATATATTATGTAATTCATTTCATGGCACAGCCGAATGTGTTTTACAGATAGTGTTTAACCTTCCCAATTCTGCTCTGAGATAATCCCCCTTCTGAGGATAAAAATCTTATATTTAACATAAAAGGAGCGGCTGGAGGGAGGAAAGCTGCGTAGCGTGTACCATGCAACAGATAACCGGAAGTTGCCCCAACAGTGGTGATCAGAGGAGATCTCTGCAGCCTTGCCTTATTAACTAATCTCACACTACACCCACCAGGACAAGGTGGCAGCCAATGTGCGAGGCCACGGCGGTGTAGGCCGAGGGGCAAAAACGTATCTTGTACTTGTGGCTGACTGGCACAAGGGCAGCAGTGTGGTCTGCCGTGGACAGATTCTCGACAGACCTTGCTCCATCCTGTGTGTGACCTGGGGCCTGAGACAACCGAACCCCCCAAGCCTCAGGGCCCTTGTCTGGCCCCCACTGTGGGGGCTCTCACTGGGGCAAGCTAAGATGTGGGCAGAGTTGGGTGCGGTGACTGTTGTATCTCCCGGCTTGGCAGACACCGTTACCCCACAGAATGAATGTCTTTTTAGGGATTCCTGGACCACAGGTGCTGAGATCCTTACCTGGGTGACTTTCCAGGGTTCTTGTTCATTGTCATTTGCTGTCAGCCACTCCAACGCCCACCTTGTCCCTCTGTCAACTCCCTCTTCCCCTCCACTGCCAACTTGGCCACCTCTTGACAACTATTTCATTGACAGAAGGGAAGTACTAGATCCTTATCCCTGGCCGGTGACATATCAACGTCCAGTGTGGCAGGGTGGGGGGTATTATCGATGGCACCTAGGTGTCTCCCTGAAACCTCCTGTCGTCACAGGTTGGACTTCTTCAGAGGTGGCTGGATCTGGGGTGTGTGACTGATTCCTGGTGCCACGCTGGGGTTACAGGTATGTGATTGCTGCATCAGCCCACTGCTTGGTTTAGCACCCCAGCCCCATAGTACAGATAAAGAGGAGGCAGAAAGACCTGCTAAGGTCCTCGCTGCTTTCTACCTTCTGTCCACCACGAACTGTTTCTCCCCTGCCACCGTGCCTTGGAGCCAGCCAAATATGAACTCTGTCTTGGTTACTTTTATTTCATTGCTGAGACAAAATACCTGACATCCAAAATGAAGGAGACAAAGTTTATTTAATTCAGAGTTTATGAAGGTTTCAGTTCATAATTAGCTGGTTCCAAGGCACGGTGGCATGGCACAGGGCAGATACTTGTGATACTAAGATGCTGAAAAATTAAAATAGTTAATTAAAAGATAGTTATTAACAAAAATAGTTAAAAGGATAGTTATTAGCAGTATTGTCATTCTGTGCTGAGCTTGTTACCCTAGTAACCAAGCACCAACCACATAGTTATAGATTAATTGACCACGTCATCATGCTGTTCTGTATGCATCGTTCCCCCTCCAGTAACCTGTTTGCTATGTCAACCTTTGTTCCCACTGCAAGAGACAAATGATGCTGTGTAAACCATTGTTCCCTTTATGAGAGACAAATGTTCCTGGAATTGGCAGACCAAGGGCTATGACTTGGCTAACCACCCACAATGCCTCTGACCTCAAGCAAAGGGGAACAAAGGCCCACCTTGTTTCTGTTTCTCATCGCTATGTACTTAATGATCAATGAGCTAATCATAAATGAACTATAAAAATCAGTCAAAATTCTGACTCAGTTGCACAGCTTTGCAAATTCCATCTGCACTGTGTCGCTGGGCCAGCTAAAATAAAAGTGCTTCTTTTAAAAAGATGTTGTCTTTTTAAAAAGATGTCGTTTTTCATCTTGGGGGTCCTTTTTTGGGGAGTACAACAATACCAAAAGCAACAAGAGCAAAATGGGTAAAAGGAAAAGCACACCCCTTTCCCTCCCTTACATTGTATGCGGCTCCCCACACCTGGGCGGGTGCCAATCCCAGCACCAGACAGTGCACCAGTCACAAACACTAGACTCAGCCGCCTTTGAAAGGCCTGTCCCCCCACAACTGCATGAAGCTTTGTGGGGACACTTAAACACAAATCATAATAGACTGAAACCTCTATAAACTGCAAGCTAAATAAACTTCTCTGCCTTTAACTTTGGGTATCAGGCATTTTGTCTCAGAATGAGAGAAAAGTAACTGAGATAGTGTATTACCAGATTTTGAAATTCAAAGTGAGGGGTTGGCAAGATGTGGCCTCTACATACATGTGGGTCACTGTCTGTCTTTGCAAATAGTTTTATTGAAACGCATTCATTCATTTGTGTATTGTGTATAGTGCTTTGAACTTGGTTTGCAAACAACCAAGCTGAAGCATTACAACAGAGACTGTATGGAACACCAAGCTTAAAGAAGAAGCCTGAAACCTCTACTAGGCTCTGTGGAGAAACTGTTTCACCACTGGCCTCTCGTTCATAAAATGAAGGTCGTAAAATGAAGCACAGCCTCCCTGGTGGATGACTTGTGCTCTGGTGCGGGGTGGGCCCTGGAACTGGGATATGAGTCCTTGGGAGAGATGCGGAGCTTGTTCCTAGGATGCTCTCCTCTATCCAAGTGGCAGAGATAGGTCTCCTGCATACTGCATAGCTATGGCTTTCTGTGTGTGCCACAGCCTGCAGCGGCTACTGCAGGGCCATAGCACAGCCTTTGGGGCCGCAGCCTGCCTTCTTCTCGACCCTGGTTTCTTTCAGGGAAGCACAGCCACCAGCCAGCAGGCTGCCCTCTGCACCGCCCTCTTGCTGGCTTAGGTACCACACCCTCGCTTGCCATTGCCCACAGGTTTCCTAGACACCCACACTGGTCTTGCTGCTGAGCCTGAAGGAAAAGCACCCGGTTTGGAGGGTTCGATGGTTCCAAGCAGCTGTGATTAACAGCAAGTCTGGATGCCTCTGTCGGGTAGTCAAGTCACACCCAGCCATGAAGGCTAACCCTATCCCTAACCCTAACCCTAACCCTAACCCTAACCCTAACCCTCTTCCTCCTCCTGGATCCTTACCTTGGCCAATGACACCATCATCTACCTGCTCTCTGGCCCTCATTTCCAAGTCCTTCCTTTGTCTTCCACTTGTGTCTGACTGGCCACGAAATCCCACTTACTCCCAGGGCCCCTGGGAGCCTGCTTTTCTCTACCCCATCTCCACTGTGGCTCCCAGAGTTCACTACCTGTTGTCAGCCATGGGTTACCAGAGCCCCTTGGAGAAAGTTCGTGCCAATAAAAGCCTGCAGGCCCGCTCCTTTGCTTCAGCTCCCGGTGGGCCCCCCATTTCCCGTGGACAAAGTCTAAAGCACTTGGGGCAGGCTGAACCCTGGGTTGGGGTGCTGGTGACTTCCTGGGCTTGGACAGAAACATAAAGACAAACAGAAAGGAGAGCAGGAAAGTTGTAATTTTTAAAATTGTACTTCTAAGAAAAACCATGGAAGACTATAGTTTCAGGACACAAGTTACTCAAGACCCTTCCCTTTCCAGGAAGCTCAAAACAAAACAAACAAACAAACCAAAAACCCTACAGATCTAGAGGTGCTTTTCTCCTCTGACTTTGTCTCCTCCCACAGGAGACACGTAGGGGTTTGCAGTCTGACAGCCCCCAGGGTGGTGGCCCTATAGAAACCAGGACCTAAGACAAATTGCCACGAATCTTCCCTTGAAATTCTACCCTCACTTCACACTTAACTTTTGTGGGCATCTTTCTCAGGTGTGACCCAAATTATGGTGACCACAGCAGCCAAGTACATCCAGCAGAAAGTCAGCTCACAAAACACGACGCAGCGTCCTTGTCCACCTCAGTCACCAGACTGGGCGCTGTGCTACTCCTGCCTCCTGCCAAGGTCAAAATGACCATGAAAGGTCAACATGTCCAATCCATTCAGGACATTAAGTTACCCAGGCCAGCGCAACTAAAAGACCCTCAGGAAAGAGGACCCCAGAGCTGCTGCAGGAAATGGCGAAGAAAATGGGATGAGTGTGTTTGAAGTCAGGAGAGGATTCGGATGGGAGTTAATGGCAATGTGTCTTTTACTACAATAATTTTAAAAACTTAAACACATTTTTTTCAGCCACCCCTTATGAAGATACGCATCCTAGTTGACCCATCTTGAAATCACCACTAAGGCTACACAGAAGCCCCCAGTGCCAGGCCACCCGCTGTTCTCCGTGCTGTCAGTACATGTTTGTGGTGCCTAATGGACACGCATGCTGTGGGAAGTTGGCTCACGGAGCCCCGCGTCTCAATTCCGTGTCCATTTCCTCCCTTGTCCGCTCCCCACATCTCTCCATTCCCTTCCCAGGGAGGAAAGATCTGCCTCCCATTTCCTCATGTCTGTCTTTCACTCCAAATAAACCTTCTTATCCTCTCACTGATGCGTCATGAAAATTCCTTCTCTGTGACTGATGTCAGCGGAACCACGGTGTATTCTGGGGAGGGGTAAGTTGCAGTCCACCACTTCCGCTCTGGGGAGCCTGACCGAGCCTGTCTGGTGACATTCTGCGGCCTTGTTTCCTGCCCCACCCCTGCGCTGGGTCCTCCTCCCACCTCACACAATGCAGTGGACTGAGCGGTTCCTCCTGGGGAGGGGGGGGAGCAGCAGTCTCCACACTGTGCAGGAGGGTCATCCTAGGGTGGGCACAGTCATCGTCCCAGCTGCAGTGTCTGTAAAGTGCTTGGGAAGTCACGTGCTCTGTCCCCTGTGAAGCTCCCTGTGGGGCTTCTGGATGATAAGGGATGTTTGTCCCAGCCACGGTCACCTGGCTGGTCAGAAGCTGTCCTGGAAGAGCCTCTGAAGGGCCTAGGCTGTCTGCAGACCTGCAGATCTCCTGCCACATGAGGACCCCCAGCGTGCAGGGCAGGTGACGGGAAGCCTGGCGGGACCTTTCACCCACACAAAGTGCACTCTTTTAGTATCTTTTGCCTGGACTTATTTGTGCTATATCAATACACATTTTATTTTTGTCTGTAATTTTCTAAGATGATCTTCTCTGTTCCTCTGTTTTAAACATTTCTGCCCGAGAGTGCCCATCTAAGTGAAGGGGTAGGATTCAGGCTCATCTTTGTAACCAGCCAGCTCTGAAGCCTTGAGAAGGTGACTCAATCTCTCTGTGCCTTAGTTTCTCCTCTATTAGAGAATAATAAGAGCCCAGTTTCACACACTCGTCAGGGGAATAAAACAGCACAAAACACATGCTTAGCAAATATTAGAAATCATTCGATGCATATCATCTTTAAAAACAACACAGAGTTGGATGTTTAAAACTAGGTCTGAAAATCTCCTTTATTTACAATGGTGAATTTATCTTACATTTAAAAATTATTTTAAGTAATTTTAAAATTTACCCTCTTCGAAGGGAAAAAAAAAAGAGTTCTAACAGATATAACAGCAAGTGTGTATAGGGGTGTTGAATAGCTGACTATATTAATGTTTTTGGATCATTGAACACAGCTGTTTGCAGTCTCTCTGTTTGAATGTCTACTGTGTATTCTTTGATACTGTGATTTGAGCAACTATTTCCAAGATGATAATATGTAATCTATTAACAGGTGATTTCTTACTGTTATGTTTTTTTTTTTTGTAGTTCTGTATTATATGTAATCTTACACTGCTTTGTTTTGTTTTGTGTTTTTCTCTTTTTCCTCTTAAATAAAAAAAAAAAAATTTACCCTCTTCAGGCGCATAATCAGTGGTGTTTAGTTAATGTACAGGTTGTGCAATCATGGTTTTTGTGTCATTGAAAAATGTATCTGGGTCCCATAACTACCCTTGGGGCGTCCTTGTGTCTCAGTCACAGACAGCTCATGCTGGCTTCCTGTCCCTGTGATGTGCTCTTTCTGCATGTGTCAGAAAAAGGGCTGATTAAGTGTGGGCTTCTACTTAACGTAGTGTTTTTGTGCTCATCCATTTCTTCTTGATTGCACAGGACGGTGTTCCTGTGAACTGATACAATGCACCACCGCTTGTTTCTGTATTTATTACCTGACGAATAATTGGCTCCCACTTTTCGGCTATTCTGCATATTTACATATGTGGAGGACCACTTGGATGACTTTCCTTGAATAAAGAGCAATTATTTTGGCTAAACCTGGCCCTGTCTCCATGTACTGATGCGTACAGAGCTGGCTGAGCTGTTTCCTTTCCCTTCAGTTGGCTCTAAGCAATGCAAATAGGGCTGGCTGAGGTACTGATGTGTAATCTTTGAAGCCAGGTGACAGTCGCTGTTTTCCTATCATATGATTCCCCCAAAAATGTGGTTGAGCCGGGCAGGATGAAGAGTCTCCATTCCACACTGTCAACTGGGTTTAAGCCTTGAGATAAGAGGCTGTGACTTCCCAGGACAGAAAAGTTTGCATATCAGAGCTGAAGCACCGATTCCCTACCACTAGACGCTACCTCACTGTGTCACCCATGAAGATTAGTCTCTCTGCATATTGCAGACGTGATTTTGAGCCTCCTCTCTAGTTCAGCTCACAGCACTATGTACTTCCTGCCTTTCTCATGGTCACTCTTCTTCAAGCCATTCCTTTGTTCATGAGTTAATAAAACCCAGGTTAAAATCTGGGCTGGGCCCTGGATTGAGGCCTTGGTTCCAGTGGACTGACATCTTGGCTGGACTTAGGACCCGTTGGCTCCTCATAATTATAACTATCTTAGTGCCTTTATTCTTGCCATGGGTTGCACTGGAAGTTGTAGACTGGAATTAACTTGTTAGAATTTCAATAACATTTACATAGGATTACAAATATGCTTCCCAGATTGAGACAAGGACCAGGAAGGGCTTTCTTTCTCTATATAAGTATTTTTGTAGACATAGATTTTTATCACTTTTGCATAGAATTGCTAAGGTGTGTATTTCACTTTTCAAAAGTTGCCAGTCTTTTCCCCCAAGTGGCCACAGTATTTTATGTCCAGTTTACCTGCACCATTACTGATTACTGGTAGCTGATCTTTGCAAGTACCCAATTAAAACAGGCAGATATTTGAATCCATGTCTCACCAAAGGAGACAGATGAATGGCCGATAAACACATGAAGAGAGAATTAACATCTTCTGCTAAAGATATTTGTTACCGGGCAATATAAAATCACAATAAAATGCCACTTTATGTCAG